GGGGGGGGGTACTCGTATGACCGCATGCCGGCGTCGTTAGACCATGGGCGTACGAGAGGACGGAGCAGTTTTCGGAATGCGGGGAGGGACACGATTTGCGGCGCTGCCGCTGTTGACGATGGCTGTGACGGTGTTTGTTTAGCGGCGGCGTTGGCGCTGGCCCGTCGCGTGGTGTGTCTGGCGTCGGTGCATGTAGCTGTCTTAGCCTTCTTGGTGTTACAGCTGCAGCTGTAGTGTTTCTCTTGCCCCACTGTGCGATAGCCGGTGGTTGGTTGACCCCGCACGTCGCTTTTCGCTCAGTCGGGCGGGGTACGTTTTCCCTCGGACTGCCATGGGCATTGTGACCTCGACTCAGAGAAACACCCCCCATCCCGTCGACAACGTTCTGCGTACATGTGTTGTACAACCTGCAAGACAAAGCCGCCATGTTGAGCTTCCTACTCTGCCCCCCCCGCCCCCCTACGGCATTGCTCCTGTATGCGCACGCGTCCGGCCAGCAGCTCAATGAAAAACTCGTCGAGCCCATACCCCCTGTTCCAGGACGTGTGGTCAATGGTCTGACCGCTAAGGCATTCACCACCCCCCCCCCCCTGCGGCACGCTTGTTTCAGGTATTGGGCCCCGGTTTCGGTTCCTTTTACAGCACGTTCGTACCCCTCGCGAAGGAGATTCTCAGCGCAACGGCGTCACCCCTCCCCGGTGGGGGGGGGGGTTCTGCTACCTCTACGGCGGCCCCGCAAGACACAGACCTCCTGCGCGGCAAGACGATGGAAGCGATAGCGTTGATGGGACAAGCCGTCGGGTTGGAAGTGTTCCGCGAAGACGCTCACCAGGCGAGTCGTGGTGGTGGTCTTCGTTTTCGTTGCCGTGACCACTGTGTTGCCGTCAAATCTTAATGTTGTGGCCGTTTTTCGTTCCCTACATTGTCAGCAACAAACGGCCCGTGACACCTCGGCTTGAACCCCGTAGATGGCAGCGGGCTCTCCTAACGTTTTTTTTTTCCCGCTTTGCCCCACCCCTCCATGGCGAAGAAGTTTACTGATAAGTGGAGATTGTCTGCCAACGTTAAGAAGAGTGCCGTCATGGTATGCAACGAGAACAAGGAGGAACCAGTAGGACATGGATGGAAGTGGGGGATCGAGGAGATTGCAGTAGCGGACCAGTACACATACCTTGGAGTAGAGATCGCAAAAGATTGCTCGTGGAATGCACACATGTCCAAGGTATCGGAAAAGGGCAAAGCACGAGCAGGGAAGCTGCATCCAATACTCGCAAACCGGCACCTCGATACACGCATCAAATTGACGGTTTTGAAGAGCGTAATCGTACCGCCGCTAGAGTACGCCGGAGAAGTATGGGAAGGAAATAAGAAGGTAGTGAAAGAACTCGAGGCGGCGCAGATGAAAGCAGCGAAAATCATCCAAGGATGCTCCAAGCGCACAAGCAATGCAGCCGTCAGGGCAGAACTGGGGATCCAACTCCTACGGTCGGGAAGAGACGCGAGGAAGCTGACCTGGCAGTATCGCATNTGCAGCCGTGAGGGCAGAATTGGGGATCCAATCCCTACGGTCGGGAAGAGACGCGAGGAAGCTGACCTGGCAGTATCGCATGTGCGGGATGGGAGAGGAGAGGTTGCCGAGAATTGTATGGGAGGCGAAGTGGGCAAACAAAAAGAGGGGTAGACAACCCACGGAATGGGTCAAGGTTGTAGAGGACGTATGGAAGGGGCTCGACATCGACGAAGATGAAACGCTGGAAACGGAGATTCTAAAGGGGTTCAAGGAAAAGATATCTGTTGCTTTTGCCGAGAGAGAA